AAGACATTTGCTTGATTTTTGATGAAATGTACTTGCAAAAATGTGAGGAGTATTTTGCTGGAGAGATGATTGGTAGTGATGAGTTTGGAGAAATGTATAAAGGAATAGTTTGTTTTATGATAGTTGGCCTGAAACAAAACATTCCATATGTGATCAAAACGTCTCCTGAAAAAACAATCAATGCTGAATGGTTGAAAGAAGAAACTTTTGAATGTCTTCGTATTTTAACTGAATGTGAATTTAATGTTAGAGTTATTGTGTGTGACAACCATTCTGCTAATGTTTCTTGTTTTAAAAAAATCCTTTGTGCATCGAATCAACAAGCTGAAGATTTGTTTTTTATTTACAATCTAAAAAAAATTTACCTCTGTTTTGATGTTGTACATCTTATTAAAAACATCAGAAATAATTTGTTAAATTGCAAAAGATTTTTATTTCCAGATTTTAACTTTAATGGATTTAAAGATCCTATAATTGTATGTGGGGGAGAAATTAAATGGAGTACCTTCCACAATATTTATGAAAAAGACCTCACTCTTGATGCCGGTTTGCGTAAAGCACCAAAAATAACAATGAAAGTGTTACATCCTGGCAATTTTAAACAAAATGTTTCTTTAGCACTTGCAATTTTTGATGGAAGTACATCAGCAGCGATTCACTCATATTTTCCAGATCTTAAAAGTAGTGCAGATTTTCTTACATTATTTAACAAGTGGTGGGTTTTATCAAATTCTAAATGTCAGTATTCAGCATGTAATATTTTAGGTAATGCAGTCGTTTCTGGTGATAAAAAATCTGAATTTCTTCGGGAAATGGCACATTGGATTGAAGTTTGGCAATCACAAAAGATACCAAACTGTGAGAAGTTCACTTTAAGTGTTCAGACAGCTGCAGCACTAATAAGATCACTTAATAGTCATGCCTCATTGATCGAGGACTTGCTTAATGATGGATATCACTTTGTTTTAACTGCGAGATTTCAAAGTGACCCATTAGAAAGGAGATTTGGACAATATAGACAAATGAGCGGTGGAAGATTTTTGGTAGGTTTAAAAGATGTCACTATTTCTGAAAAAATATTAAAAATCAAAAGTATAGTTAAAGAAAGTATTAACTTCGATGATAGTTTAAAAGTGCCTGAGTCAGAAAATAATTTAACAGATTGGAAAAACTTTCTTCTTGATATTGATGAAGCTCAGTGTACTCCAGAAATCATGACACTTGCACCAGATAGTAGGGAAGTAGGTGCTCATATTGCTGGTTATATAGCAAAGAAACTTAAAAAACGTTTTGGTACATGTTGTAAAGAATTTTTATGTTGTGTCAATATTGATGAAAGCAATCCTGATCATACTTATTTAACAATTATTTCTAGGGGTGGTCTCACTATTCCTTCACCATCACTTTTGGATTATGTTTGCACATCCTTTGCTATGATTGACTACTTTTATAAAAAAATAAAGAAATTTAGTTTACATGCACGACAAGCTTTAGAATATTTGTTAAACCACTTTTATGACTCTTTTCAGACTTTTTCTTGTCCCATGCATGAGAAAACTGGGATAAAACTTGCTGGAAGAATTGTTGTTAACATTTTTCTTAATAATAAAAGAATTATCTCTACCAGTGAAGTAGCTGTTGATCATGTAAAATCTTTTAAAAAGAGAAAATTTGAGAAAATTTAATAAATTATATATAATTATTTTATTTTTAAATGAAAAAAGAGAAACATTTAAATATTTTTTATAACTGTTCTTGTTTCTTACATCGTTTTTAATAATACTAAATTTTAAAATAAACACTATTTCTTAATAAATGTTCGTTTAATATCTAAAATTATGAATAAATACAACTTTTGTGGACTATTTAAATGTAGAAAGTAAAATAATATTGAAAATGTTCAAAACGTATTAAATTTTTGAAACATTACGATTTTAAAAACTGGCCTTCTATTTTTTTCTTCAAAATGTAAAATATCCGGCCGTATAAATAAAGTAGGCCATGATTGAACACAACGGTAATTATCCGTTATAAAACACGAAATCTAGCAGAATATTTTAAAAAATATTATTTTTTTACAGTTTATGTAGAGCGTAAATATCTCAACATTTCCTTTAATATAAACTACTGCCAAAATGCAAAAAAAGTACCCCCAAAATATGCAAAACCTGGCAAAAAGACTCAGTTGGTACAACATAATAATAAAACGATTTGTTAAAAGAACTTTTATTGGCCCTTGAAACTTTCTTAAATACATTGACTTTCAAAATAAAGCAAAGAAATAACTATTGCGGGATTTATATATTTTTTACATTATATAACCATCAAAATAGGATTAAATTGTAGGACATGGTCTTATACACAAATACTAAATAAATAGTCAAATACTCATCAATATTTTTGCATGCAATATTTAAATTCATAATTACTAACAACAGTTAATGATTAAAATGGTTAAAATGTTCATTATAAACCGGAGGCTAGGATTTTCTGCTGCCTAATATAATAAATCAAATTATGGCAGCAGTTCTTTAAAGATGCTTACTGTTTAGATTTAGATACTGCACAACAATCTTTCTTTGTTCACAATTTGTAATTTTAAAATTTCAAAATTATTTTAACTTTGATTTAGTGGTTTGATTTTTTCATCAATATTTTATAACTTCATTTGATTTCCCTGCTATATAACTTCATTTATTATCCCTTGAATTCACTCGTTTATCTTTCTCAACAAACAGGGAAACTGTTGAGAGTTAGTTAATCATTTCAGGTTCCACTACAATAACAATAAATATTGTATTGTAATTCGTCTTTATAATACAATAACAATATATTATTGTAATAAAAAAATTATTTTAGTGTCAAAATTTAATAAATATTTAACAGTTGAGTCTCCGAGATAAGTGAACTTAAAATAGGGTATAACTAATATCTAAGTATTGATTCTGTTTCTTTTTTATTTACTGAATATCACTTTTCCTTATTGCAAGCTTTATATAACTCTATAAAAGTGAGTTTAATCGGGCCTGTATTTCTTTTACTGCTGGAGATAGACATGATTAAATACTACCATTTCTTCCACTAAGTTATTTGCTTTTACATTAGGCACCTATCCAATTGGTTCGAAACTTACTTAACTCTAATATAACTTTGTCTTTTGTTTCCCTTCGGCTTTATGGCTGTATGTGTTTCATAAAGTAACTGGCCATCTAGTTGCAAAGTTTTTTGTTACATTAATCAAGAACAATATTTATTTGGTGTTCTAAACTGCCTCATTTTTTCAAAAATGATCCACACAAAATTTACTGGTACGGTCACACGTACCAGTGATGTACCAGTCACACGTACCAGTAAATTTTGTGTGGATCAAAAATGATCCACACAAAATTTACTGGTCTGATAAATGATGAACAATCTGAAAATGTATAAATTTTTTTAGCAAAACAAAAGTAGTTCACATTTTTGGACAATCTAATCGATAATTACCCAGGTCAATTGTTCTTTGATTCCATAACGATGTAATTGATTACACATTAGCAGTTAGATATATTGAAAAAAAAAATTATTTTCACGCGCCTAATGTAGTTAATCAATTAGTTTAAACGCCATCATCCAGTGAAACATGTCAACATCAGTTTAGACAAAATTATAAAAAAATGAAAATTTCACTTCCTAAAGTAAATAATTATTTAATTACAAGTATATGATAAATTATATATTTGTATGATTTTGAATGAGTATTATTAATGTTAATTCTAAATAAACTATTATTTAAACAGTTATATTATTGCACTTAAAATAAAATTTTTATATGTAAATTATTTTTAGTCGAAAAATATCATTTTCTAAGCAGTAAAAGCTTAAATAATATTTTTTTATAAAAAATTTTATCTTTTATAAAAAAATATTCTTTTAGCTTTATAAATTATATGAAAATTTCAAAAATTATTTTTTTTGAAATTTTCATATAATTTTGCTTCATTTGAGACCCAACAAGACATACTTTTGAAAAATTTTATTAATATTAGGGACCCATTAAATGTTCAAGGGTCTTAAAGCACCCCTAAAAATATTTTTTATTCAAAAATTTTTAAACCCAGTGTTATTTTATCATATAGAACATATTAGGGTACAAGTTGCAGATATTTTTCAAAAATGTTGTTTTTTGAACCATCTAAAAATGTATATATCTATATATGTCTAAATCTGTGTGTGTGTGTATATATATATATATATATATATATATATATATATATATATATATATATATATATATATATATATATATATATATATATATATATATATATATAATATATATATATATATATATATATATATATATATATATATATATATATATATGATCCAAATATATATTTTATCTTCAATAACACTGAAAAACATAGACTTCAATTTTTGTGCATGAGACAAAAGTTAGCTTACAAACATCCTACAAAAAAATTGTAGAATCATCTTTGTAAATGCAATACATATGATTAGTTGAGAACAATACATATTAGTTCACACAACAGTACATATTATTTCACACAACAATACTAAATGTTCAACTTTAAAATTTTTAAATTAAATAAAACTCATGAAAATAATGAAACAAAGTTCGTACCTAATTCAAAAATTTGCTTTTTGAATAAGTTACAAAATTTGCAAATTAAAAAAAAAAAATTTAACAAGAAAGTTTGACAATTAAAAATTGTTTTTGTTTTTAGCATTTTTTGTATTTAATTTATGCATTTAAAGTGAATTTGTGACCTTTTTATATACAAGACAAGGAAAACAGCTATGGAAGGTTTATTAATATAAACCAAAGATTTAAGATATTTGAAATATTAACAACTTCTTTTTCATTTGTATTTGTATTTGGAATGGAAGTTAATGTTTGTTATGTTTAATTGAAGTTAAACTTGATTGAACTTTTTTTAGCCTAACTGAAAATATTTGCCTCTACATTTCTATAATTTCCAATTTCTACTACTTACTTCATCTTTATCTCTATTGGGTAACAACTCATCTAATCGTTTTTCAATCAAACACACCCTAAAAAATAAAATTATAAAAATGTAACAATATAATTTTACATATTTTTTACTTAATTATAATATCTATTCATTTATACTGAAGATAATAAAAACCAAACATTAACAATTACTTAAGTATTAAACAATTTAAAACAAGCAATATCTGGAAATGTTATTGATATAAAACAATAATACTATTTTTTTATTATTATAGGTTTGTTTCTATAACAATTTTTTTTTAAAGAATTTATTATTCATTGAATAGTAGGGATGCGCTTGAAGTTTGGTGGAACTTTGGTAAATATTCGGCCAAAAATACCATTTTTAAAATCATAACTTTTGCATAAGTATATTTAATAAATTGTTCAAAACATCAGTATCATAGTAGAAAAAAATGCGTCTCAATTGTAGATAGAATTACATAGGATCAAATTAGACTAAATGAAGTGAAATACTAGCACTCTACTAGCATAAAAGAATTTCCCCTACATCAATTAGGCATTATTTTAGTTTACTATAATTTAAACATACAAATAAATAAATTTCAAACAAAAATGAAATAGATATTTTGTTGAAAAATAGAATAAATTATTTTAGTATTGTAAATAAGTAAATGAAAATCAACCTATTATATTATTTGTTGCCGTGAAATTATAATGCACGATTATTAACTTTTCACTATTTTTAGATGATAATCTATTTCTATTTGGACTTAAACGTCTTTCACTTAAACAGAAAAATGAAAAAAAATTTTCAAGTTATTTTCTTTAAATTTCTTTAAGAGATTTCACAAATTTTCCACTGCAAAAGAACATTTTCTATTACAAGGGGAAAATTGAAACACCCTTTAGTCCAGGCTTGGCTAGGAAGGCATGCAAATTTAAGTTTTTATATGGCCACACAAATAATATTTTGTTATGACGATTTAACCACGGCTTTTAAAAGATGTGCTAAAAGGATTGGTTTTAACTATGTTGAAAATAAATAACTTCAGCGTGTTTATCTTTACTAATGCTTTTATATAAGCAAAACGCTTTAAAATAAAGGAGATAATGATTATAAATGAAGTATCATTGAAAGTTGTACAAAGTTTTATTTATATTATTTAATTATATAAGATTATTTCATAAGTAACATAAAAAAAGTGAAAATTATAAAAAAAAATTAAAAAAAAAAAGACAAACTTTTTTGAAAGCGGGTTGAATCAAATAACAACGATCTTAATAATGTTTTTATATTATTGAAACGCATTAAAATAAAGTAATTACTGCTAATGATTTTTTATAAAAAATATTAATGAATAATATATATATATATATATATATATATATATATATATACACATTCCAAAAGTAATTTAGATAATCTAATCGTTATAACTTATTATTTAATATAATTGAATTTAAATTTGATTTTTTTATTAATTTTAGTTTTAGTTAAGTTCTTATTTTTACTAAGATTTATTTGCTTATTTTACTATTAGTTTTTTTTTAAGTTTCTTCATAGTTTTTTCAGCGCGTTTTAAAAATGTATACAAATTTTCAAAACATATTAACAGCTGTGGTCAAGTTTTTTAAATCATATAGTATTTGTGTGGTCATATTATGATGTGAAATCGCAAATCTTCCTGGCCAGGCCTGCTTTAATCACCTTTTATTTTATTACTTATATGTAGGAGTTTGCTTTTTAAATCTTGATCTCCACTAAGTACAAAAGTGGAATTACATTAATTTAAGTTATTTGTTTAGAAACTCACCAAAAACATTTCTTGAATTTTTTGATAAACTAACTTTTGTAAACGGAGTAAGCTTTTGTAAGCTTCATTTGAAAGAGTACTAAACTATGCTTTTGCATTTCTTGAACCATTTAATCTTTTTTTATTCTATTCTCATCTCCCTTCAGATATGTTAACTAATATTGAGAGTTAAAAGTAAAGAGACATAAATACTTATCAAGTAAAAATGTACTCAGTCTGTTGTTCGCCAACTCATTCAATTGTTCAAACAGTGTAATTATATTTAAAAAAGCTTCAAAAACTAGGGCTTGATTAAAAAATTTTTTTCAAAGCTATAATCAAAGGATAAAATCTGAGAATTATGCTTCAGGTTTGGTTAAAGTTTTAAATAGTTCTAAAACGTTATCAAATAAGCCCCAATAATAAATAATTAGAATGAACTTAATGTTGATTAAATTACATGACCAGATATATAAATTGTTTTTGATCAAGCATCTACAACCATATTGTAGGAAGTAATTTAGTTTGTAGCAACGTCTTGCATTAATATATGTTTATTTGTAACACATTGTACTTGAACTGCTTCTAATTTTCCTGCTGCTATTAGCGAACAGTGAAAATTAGTTGCAAGACTTCTTCGGCAAAGTAAAATATTTTTGACATATTTTTGCAATAAAATTGAATCATAACTGATATAATACATAACTGCATAAAAATATGAAACTGAATTAAAACTAATGCCTTCAACACTATATTGGTTGCCACTATATTGGTTGCATCTTGTAAACGATCTGTGAGAAATTTCAAAACTAAATAAATCTTTATATAAATACTTACTAATATTTTGTCCTATGTGACTTTATGGAAAACCGCTTTCTGTTGGAAAAATTATTTAATGCCTCAGTTTGTTGCCATGCTTATGAAATAAACATTTGAAATATTTTGAATTATGTCTTTATAGGCAACATTCGAAGTAAATAATAAAAAAATAATCCACTAAATGTCAGAAAAAAGATAAACTATATATACTTATATATATATATATATATATATATATATATATATATATATATATATATATATATATATATATATATATATATATATATATATATATATATACATATCAGGCTTGGTCGGGAAGCGGGAGCGATTGCTCTCGATTGCTGACCACATAAATAATATTTAGTTGCGAAAAGCTGGCCAGATTTTTTAGTTGTTTTGGGAACATTTTTAAAAGCAAAAAAAAAAAAAAAAGCGATCAAGATTAATTGGACCGATGAGAGACAATTACGAAAAAAAAAAAAATTAAAGCTAAATAAATTACGTTTAGAACAAATATTTTCGAAACATCGCTCTTTTATAATTTTTTTATAAAATTAAGCGATCTTTTTTATATAAAGTAACAACTTACGATTGTTTAAAAAGGAAACAAATATTCTTTATTAACAAAGTTTGCAAGTTTTAGTTTTATTTAAGCTAAATTATTTTATAAATATAAAAGTTTATTTTTTTAATACCTATTTTATGTTTCGCGTAGTTTGAAAAATTTAACATACTTGAAGCAATTCTTCTAAGTAAGATAAACAAATGAAATAGTTAAATCATTGAATTACTATAGAAATTAAATTAACAAAATAGAAATCAACTAAAAAGGTTAAAAATACTTAATGACAAGGAAGCGAAACTGCTTCACAATATCGCTGATGTTTAGTGAGTGGGCTTTTTAATTTTAATTAGTATTCAAAGCAGAAAAAAGTACAACGAGTTTTAAGAATGGCAACTTAAGCGAAAATAATAAGAGTCAGTAAACCAATATCTAGAAACTTTTCTTTGTATCTAGTTATTTGCTATAAATATTTGTGTTCTGTCGTACGCGGTGCTTGTTCATCCGAGAGTTACTTCATATGCATTGTTTGTGTTTAGTAACCAGAAACTTCTTATATGTTTGTTACATAATTAATTTATTAATTTGGACGATTATAACTTCATTGAAAACACAAATATTTTTGTAAGTCTTTGTTTAAATCATAATAATTGCTTTAAAAGATAAATTACGATAAAAAACAGATACACACAATTACATTTACATAAAGAATACATACTTTTTAAATAAAAAATAACGATATACTAATAAAATCTATAATTTATAATAAACTTTTAAAATTTTGACAATTTAATTATATATATTTAAAACATTTATTTTTGTAAACAAATAATATATATTCTTAAAACAATTTACGCTAGAAATCTCAAAATGTAACAAATCATGAATGATACAATTTCTAAAACATTTCAACAGAATACTCTAAAACTTTATTTCGCTTAGTCAGCGTATTTTTTGAACCAATAAAATTAGTTTGTTCGTTAATTTGGCGGGTTTTTAGTGTTTGCAAATATTCTTTTTATTCTTGCGCTCAAAGATGTTTTGAGAACATTCAAGTTGTTTATGTTTCCATGTATGTCGTTAAAACAAAAATTTTTTGTTTCGTACATAAACTTAAAGGTTCTCAAAACGACTAAAAAACCTGGCCAGTTTTTCGCAACTAAATATAATTTCCGTGGTCAGTATTCGAGAGCGATCGCTCCCGCTTCACAACCAAGCCTGATATATATATATATATAAATTAAAAAAAAGAAATGTACTTAGCCTGTATACCACCTCCAGGTGGTAAATTTTCAAATTGAAAATTTTTCAAATCTTCTATAACAGCAGTTAATGTTGTTTTATCGCCATTCTTTTTTACGATTTCTATCATAAGAAAATTCATAGTAATACAATTTTTTTTTTACAAATAAAACAATTAAAAAATGAAATAAAAAAATAAACTATTAACAACTAATTACTATAAAATTTAATAACAGGACTCTGTAAAATTTCAGTAAAATTTTCAAAATTTACCTATTTTCAGTTATTTTTTTTTTTTTAAACTTCAGCAAATTTCAACAGCAAATACAACTATCATAAAATCCACACTCAACATAAACTTTTTTTCAACAAATTGAATAACAGTTTTAATTTCTTGTTTTTTGCAAAGACTCATAATTTGTGTTTTTTATGTTCTGAAAATGTTGATAAAGTACAAAGTATTAAACATAATATGTTTAAAACTTTGTACTTTTAACAACATTTTAAGATTATATCATAATACACACATTGAGAATAAAAGATGACAAAAATGATCAAAATTGTGCACAAATCAGGTTTTGTCACAATAAGTCCTTACACGCAAAAAAAAATTACCATCATGTAAAAACAAACTGAAAATGTTTCATGATTTTATTTTGATGATGAATTCTAATTTAGTTTAGAGGATCACATAAGAATAGAGAAACTAGAAAAAATTTTAAAACATTTCCGATAATAAACCCTAATTCATTCATGCAGAAGTTTTAAAATAATGTTTTTTTTACCAGTTTGTTTGCAAGGGTGAGGAAATTTAACAGCAGAGAGAAGATACATTAAAACATTTAGTGACAAGAGATAGGAATTTTGCCAGTTGCTCTCATTAATTTTTTTTTTATTATTATTTTGTCTTTCGTCACTTTTTAGTTACTTTTTTTAGCTTTTAAGCAGTTTTGCAGTTTAATTTTTTAAATCTTACTTTTTACCATCTTATTACAATAATAAATTGTTAAACTAGCACAATACTATTGCCTGGTTTCATAGTTTAGGTACGGCTATGGCTCCATGATTAACTTTCAAACTGTAGCAAGGTAAAATTCGCAATAAAAAAAAAAAACTGTTTTTCAGACATTTGTTTTAATCTGCTCTCTAATGATCTTGATCTATTTTTTCTTTTGAGAAAATCATTTAAATCATCAGATCCAGATGAGTTTCATCCCAGAATATTTCTGTTTTTATACTTAATTCCTTCAGAGCAGTACGTTACATATTTCCAGATTTGTACGTCACAAATCTGGAAATATGTAAATATTATACCAATATGCAAAAATGAAGAAAGGAAACTTGAAACAATTTATGGACCCATTAGTTTAACATGAGCCATAGTTTAAATATTCATTAAAATATTTATGATTTCTTAATATAGCATTTCTTCATATGCTTTTTAATAAGAAAAGAAAGTAAATTAGCAATTATTATAATAACAATATATAGTTTTATAATATTTTGATATATATTATTTTGTGTAATATGTCATGTGGTTTATATTGTTGAGTATGATAATTACATTTAAATGATACTTCTAAATAATGCCAATGATTGGTTAATGGAAATTTACTTTATCGATGCATTAAGTCACATGATTTGTTTTAACATTTTTAATTAGTGAAACATTTTTAATATTAATTTTAACACATCAGTTTAAATCTAAATAAAACTAAGGAAATATTTTAAAAAGTTTACTTGAGATTATTATACTTTATCAATATTATTTTTATTTATTTATACTATTTTTTTAATTATTTATATTATCTATAAAAGTTTTGTTTTGTGCTTTTATGTTTTTATTTTTATTAAAAAATATAAAATTTTTTTTAATTGAATGTTTATTAGTGGTGTTTATGTTTGTGTGAGTTGTCCATAAAGTTATTTATTAATTTTAATTAGTTAATCAAAATTATACTATAAATAATCAATGAATAATAATGTTTTTAAATTAAATTTTAAAAAATATACACAAAAGTATTGCAACAATTTCACACTAAATAATAGTTTTTTTTCTGGTAGTGAATATGATTCCATAAGTTAGTTTAAAAAGTAATAGTTTACATGTGTATTTTATTAATACAAGTTAATTATAGTGCTATACAATGGTTATTTGTCATTTATTTTGTTTCCCATAGTTTTTAATCAAAATAGCTCGAACCTTAAACAAGCCTGAAAGGATTCTAGATAAGTATTATTCAATTGGTTAAAGTGAAAAACTGGCTACATGTAAGATTACAGAAAAGATAATTGATAAAGCAATTTCATGCGGCATGCAAATAAGAAAATCAATGTCTACAAAATGAAACAACATTTGGAAAGATCACATCTATTAGAATATAAAACTTTTGAAAACTGAAATAAGCCTTATGACCAAAAGAAGGAAGTAAATTTTTGCTGAAAACATTTGTGGATGAAGGATTCCAGTTGGTTACAGGCCAATTAGTTAAAAGACTTGGATTCAGTTCTGGACATGATTCTGTACGCAATTTGATTAATGAATTTGCTGAAAAAAAAGCTGAAATAAAAAGAATAATTGTTAAAGAAATTTATCTAGGTTATTATTTATTAAACTTTACTTTGTTTATTTTAGAGTAGAAAAACTTATAAGAATTAAAATTTTGTTGTTCTTTAAACAAGTGTTTCAATTTTCTACTCTTATCAAAATAAAATATGGATAGAGCTCTAAGACCTTCTCGCTTGGATACATTACCAAACTCACCTTCGGCAACAAAATTATTTAAACATTGACTCAGAACATTTGAATATTATCTTGATGAACTCCCTCAAGAACTCAATAAGTTAAAAATCCTGACTAATTTTGTTGTGCCTGATGTTTATGAAATAATAAGCGAATGTCCAAATTATGAAGCAGCAATACAAGCTTTACAATCTGTGTACATCAAACCATCAAATGAGGTTTAAGCACGACACCTCTTGGCAACTTGTAAGCAACAGCCAGGAGAAAGTTTTGATGAGTATTTACACGCTCTTAAAGTTTTAGCAAAAGAATGTAACTTTAAACAGGTGTCTGCTATTGAATATCACAATGAATATATTAGAGATGCATTTATAACAGGGATAAATTCACAGGTTGTCAGACAGCGACTACTAGAAAACAGTACAATAAGTCTGGATGAAATATTTTCAAAAGCTAGAACCTTGGAATCAGCGCAGAAAAATGCTGAAAATTACCTCTATTATAATACATCAGATACAACAGTAGCTGCAATAACAAAAAAGCCAAAACAATTTAACTCATGCTAATTTAAGACATGCTAAAGCTGTCTGTCCTGCTAGAGAGCCGATTTGTTTTAAATGTGAGAAAGTTAGTCATTTTGCCAAGTTATGTAAATCTTCTAAACTTACAACAGCAGGGATGAATCTTGTTGATCAACCTTGGTAAACTAAACCTAACAGTTCATAAACAAAACCAAAAACAGGTATCTATGGCTTCATCATCTTTAACTAGTACAATTTGTGGAGTAGTTTTTGTCAATATTTCAATAAAAAATGAGCATTATAAACTAGTAAAACTTAACATCTTAAATAAGTTATGCATGGATGTTATTCTGGGTCTCGATTTTCAAAAACAACACAAAGCTATAACCCTTAAGTTTGAAGGAAAAAGACCCCCACTATTGATTTGTGGTTTGTCGAAGTTGAATGTATCTCCTTCTAGTTTATTTGGCAATTTATCGCCTAACTGTAAACCAATAGCTTCAAAATCTCGTCCAATTATTCATTGCAATAGAAGTACAACGTATGCTTAAATGCTTAAAGAGGACATTATCGAACATGCAAATTCTCCCTGGAGAGCTCAGGTAGTTGTAACTAAAGGAGAACGCTCTAAGAAAAGATTAGTTATTGACTACAGTCAAACAATAAATAAGTATACTCAACTAGACGCTTACCCATTACCAAAGATTGATGATCTAGCAAACAAAATTGCTCAATACAAAATATTTAGTACAGTTGATTTGGAATCAGCCTACCATCAAATTCCAATTATCAAAAAATGATAGAAAATTTACAGCTTTTGAAGCAAATAAGAGGTTGTTCCAATTTAAGTGAATGCCTTTTGGAATTGAAAATGGCGTTGCTTGTTTTCAACGCACCATAAACGAATTTATAGAAAAAGAAGGACTTTTAGATACTTATGCTTATCTAGATAATGTGACAATATGTGGTAAAACCCAAGAGGAGCATGATCTTAATCTGGAAAAATTTCTCAAGTCAGCTGAAAATATAAATCTTACTTATAATCATGATAAATGTAGCTTTTCCCAAGATAAAATTTGCATTCCTGGTTATCTTATAGAAGAAGGAAAGCTCAAACCAGATCCCAGTTGTCTTCAACCTATGAAAGAAATGCCTCCTCGTGATGCTAAATCCATGAAGCGTATCATCGGACTATTCTCATACTACTCTAAATGGATTCCAAACTTTTCCGATAAGATAGCTTCTCTTACCAAAAACACCAAGTACCCATTAGATCATCAGTGTGTAAATGATTTCAATCAACTTAAACAAGACATTGCAAATGCTGTGACAATTATGTGGACAAAAATATTCCATTTGAAGTAGAAACAGACGCATCTGACATTGCTATAGCTGCAGTTCTTAATCAAAATGGCCGCCCTGTAGCTTTCTTTTCAAGATTACTTCAAAAATCTGAACTCAAACATCCCTCTATTGAGAAAGAAGCTTGCGCAATAATAGAAGCAGTCAGGCATTAAAAACACTACCTTACTGGACGCCATTTTAAACTTATTACCGATCAGCAACCTGTGTCCTATATCTTCGAAAAGCAACATAAATCAAAGACTAAAAATGATAAATTTTATCGATGGAAAATTGAACTATCGTGCTATAATTATGACATTGTTTACAGGGAAGGGAAACTAAATATTCCAGCTGACACATTTTCTAGAATACATTGCTCAGCAATAAACACTAACAACTTAATTCAGCTTCATCAATCACTCTGTCATCCTGGAATAACTAGGTTTTATGCTTTTATTAAAAACTGTAATTTACCTTTCTCAATTGATTATGTTAAACGAATAACTAATCAGTGCAAACTATGTTGTGAATGTAAGCCTAGATACTACAAACCACTAAAATCTAATTTGAATAAGGCAACACAACCACTGGAACGTTTGAACTTAGATTTTAAAGGACCTCTTCCTTCGGAAACTAATAACAAGTATTTTTTAACCATAATGAGTATTCTCATTTTCCTTTTGCAATCCCGTGCCCTGATATTTCAGCTGAGACTGTAATTAAGTGTTTGTCACAAGTATTCTCGGTTTTTGGTTTGCCAAGTTACATCCATTCCGATAGAGGTTCAGGCTTCATCAGTAAAGAATTAAATTAATACTTACTAGAGAGAGGTATTGCGACAAGTCTTACTACAGCATATAATCCACAAGGGAATGGACAAGCCAAAAAGTATAATGGAACCATAATGAAGTCTATTGAGATTGCTACTAGACAACACAATTTACCCATCAAAGCTTAAGAAAAGGTTGAAGGTTGGCCTGCTCTTGCAGCCAACCTTCAACCTCTGTCACATCGTCGTAATGTTGCTTCTCTTTCTCTTTTCTACAAATACTATAATGGGCACTGCTCTAAAGAGCTAGCGTCTCTTGTGCCATCTACTAAAGTTCATTCTCGTGTTACTCGTCATTCAATTAAGTCTCATCCTTTTTCTGTTACTGTTCCAAAGTGCTCCAAAAACTTTTATTCGTCTAGTTTTTTTCCTCGACATCAGTTCTTTGGAATTCGCTCCCTTCATCTTGCTTTCCTGATTCATATAATTTCCAATCTTTTAAGTTGTCTGTCAATCATTATCTTGCTCTACAATCTTCATCTTTTCTCTTCCAGTAACTTCCAACACTAATTAGTGGTTGCTTACAGCCTTGTTAGGAGCGAAGATGTTTAAAAAAAAAAAAAAATTAGCCTCCCCTTTATCAACCTCCACTAGCTGAAAATCTTGTCAATGATGCTTGTCCGATCAATCCGTTGTTATTAATAACACCTGGAAAAGACACACGTAGATCCTCAAGAGTAATTCGTCGACCATTACGACTTATAGAAGAAGAACCTTGTCTATATTATAGTATATTCTGTTTATATTATGGCTGCAGAGAATGTTGTGTTTTGATTATTTACTTTGTTTATTTTAGAGTAGAAAAACTTATAAGAATTAAAATATTGTGTTTCATATGCCGGAAAAATTCAAGTTAAAACTTTGGCACTGTTAGATACAGAAGGACAAAACAACTAAGCTGCTGTCAAAAAAAAGGTGGAAGATAGTCTATACAGATTTAGTATTAGCAAAGATCAAGTAGAATGTGCAAGTGTAGACAATTCAGCCAATATGATTAGAGCAATCACACTTTTAAACAAATAATAAGGTGAAGATTAAAAGATAAAGCTTTGCAGGATGAAGATCAAGAGGGGTTTTTACGACAGGATACAAATGAAGAAGTGCAGCAGCTTGGGAAAAAAATCTAGCCGATATTAAGTTGATGTGCTGTGCTATTCACACTTTGCAGCTAGCTATTCGTGATGCTTTAAAAAAAATATACATTGCCAAACTTTTGGCAAAGATCTGTTATGTTGTTAAGAAACTAAAAAACTCAAATACAATATGTTTAGCAAGGGAGCAATACAAGGTCGTTCTCATTTTAGATAAATTAATATGCTAGGCTTCAACAATGCTTTCGGATGAGTCAACTTTGGGATGTTTTAAAAAAACTGTATGTGACGGGTAAACTTCAAGGAATATTACTCCAAGAGAAGAGAACTTTAAGGAACCAATATTATTCCAAGAGAAAAGAACTTCAAGGAATCAATATTACTCCAAGAGAGCTCCTAAAGGAATAATAGAAAAATAATTAAAATAATTGAAAACTGACCTAGAGAAGAATCAAAGATAAATAGCGGAAGACATTTTAAAATCAATGCAGAAACAAAAAGAAAAACTTTTCAATAACGATATATTTTTAGCTGCAGTTTATGCTGATGCTAGCTATAAAATACTGTTGGATGAAAACCAGATAATACGAGCAAATAAAGTCATAAAAATAGAAGCAGAAAAAAATTTATAAAAGAGATATATAATAGAAATAAGAAATACTACTGAACCATCTACAACACTTTCAGTTTCAGAACCATCTACAACACTTTCAAGTAAATATAATTTTAATGTAGAAAATGACGAACTTGGAAAAGAGCTAGTTAAAAAAGAAAAAAGGAGGTGTGATTAAAATTAATTTTAATGATAAAAATTCATTTAATACAAATTTTATAGATGACTGTAATGTAATAAAAGAAATAAATAGGATGACTAAAAGTGAAATCAGCTATTGAGGCAATTGAGGAATACTCCCCCCCCCCCTCAAAACAAAAAACAAAAAAACAAGAAGCATGCAGAGTAGTCACTTGTATGCCTGTCTCACAAGCAAGTGTAGAGAAGCTACTTTCTGCGCTTAAGTTTATATCAAGCAATCTGCGTTCTTCACTCAAACCTGATATTTTACATATTTTATTTTCATAGATCATCCAGGTCATATTTTAAAAAATCCCGAAAATCAATAGGGTAAAATATCTGAAAAATATCCGGAATATATTTTCCCTAAAATTCCTCTTAATTTTGATTTTAGCTGAGCTGTATTTAATTTTTTTTTAACTTTTCTTAATTTTTGTATAAGTAATGAGTTGAAAAAGCTTAAAAAACAAATATATTACAAAAATATATTCCTAAACTTGTTTTTATAGAAAACATTTTTGATATCTGGAAAAACTAATAGCTGAGAAAAATATCCGGAATTCCGGAAATATCAGGAAAAAAATAATCCCTGTATTTTTAAGGATGAATAAAGATTTTGATTAATAAAATGTTAATAGTACTGTCATAAAACAATTTAAAATTTTTTTGATTCCACTCTGCAGACAGAGCTCAAAATTCTAATGAAGCATGAGCCTATTTTTAGACCTTAGCTCCAAAGCTCTGCTTAGATAAATGCATCACTTTTGATATTTACCTTGACTTAGTAAAAGCCCTTCAATAAAATTAATGGTTAAATTCTTAGATAAAAACTTTACAAAAAGAAGCAAAAAGTAATGATAAATGGTAATTATTCTGATTGGGTACCAGTAAAAAAAAAAAAAAAGTGTTCCCCAAGATTCATTTTTCTCAGCATTATTATTCATTATATACACTAATGATATTCCTGATTTAATTACTTCTAATGCAACATTTCTTGCTGATTTCACTAAAAATTTTTACCCTCTTACTAAAAAGTTTTTACATCCAACTGCAAAATGCAGTTGTTTTACATCAGCAAGTTGCTAATGCTAGTTGTACATGCAGCAAGTTTTACATCCAACTGCAAAAATACTTTTACATCCAACTACAAAATGATATCGATTTTGGTTGACTTGACAAATAAATGGAGGATGAAACTTAATATAGAAAAACATTCAGTTGCACATCTAGGTTACAAAAAAAAATAGCATATCTATACGATGTACAATGCAATGCAACAAATAATATCAAATTTACTAACTCTGAAGCTGACCTAGGAGTACATATAAATAAAAATTTATTGCTCTCTAAATACTTCTATGCAAGTTAATTAAAAAATGCAAATGATTGGTCTAATAAGATTGCTACCTGAACTCAATTTGTCTTAAAAGACTATTCTTAGCACCAGACCATAGTGGATATCAATATATCTCTTCTGCTTTAAGACAAACGACAAGTTGAAAATGTACTTAGAAGAGCGTCTGAATTTAGCGGATTATGTAACTTTTCATATTACCAGAGATTATCAAAAATTAAAATGACAACCATGATCGAACTAATCTGAGGAAAATGGCTCAACAACAATTATAAATGTCAAACATTCTTTCAAAAAACGATTAACAAATCTGTTACAAGAAGTCATATTTTCAAACTGAAAAAAATCATCTTGCCATTCGGCTTCTCTTTAACACTTTTTTATTTTACGAGTAATTAAAAAATGGAACTCTTTGTTAAATGATGTTGTAAAAACCATATTTTTGAAACATTTTAAAAGCAAATTTGACATTTTACTACAGAAATGAACATTTACAATTAACAAGAAAAAACAAAAACAAAAAAACATATCTAACATATACAAAATTATGATGTGTAAACAGGCTGTCAGGAAAGTTGACTATAATTTTTTTTTGGTAATTTCTTTAAACTATGCCTTGCCATTCTCACTTTTATACAAATATTAATTGTCCTATTTACAAACAAAAAAAACAAACATATTTAATCAAATATAAAGATAAAAATAAAATATTATTATACCATCTATTTTTTCTATAATAGCCAATTCCAACTTCTCTTCCTAAATACAACAATTTGTAAGTATCTCAAAATACATTTTTAATTTACTTTTACTATTTAAAGTATGAATAAATTATAACCTTTTCAACTGCTTCAGGTGAAAGCTGAGGAGCAGCTGGAAATACAACTAAGATTGCACTCATGTTGTCTCGGCTACCCTAAATATATTTTAAATGGAAATTCAAAATGATTTTTAAACAAAAATATTTGCCAAAAATTTTTTTAAAGCTAAACCTACATGGTTCCATATTCTTGTGGTTTTGACTTGTTTTTATAAAACCTATTTTCTTATTTAAATATGAAATTACGTATAAGTGGGAGTAATTAGTTTACAAACAAATGCTTTTTCTGGAATTAAGCTGTTTTGCTGATATGTATAGGACAGAATAATTGTGTGGTAGTTCTACTAAAAGAATTACAAATGAAAGTTTATGATACTCCTACTCTTTTTGTATTGTTACGTTGTCATGCAAGTTATCATATCAGTTAGTAAAATTTTTTTTTGGGAAAACTTCACTAAATAACTTTAGCCATGCATTGAGATTACAATATTGAGGTACAACTAAATGGTTTGATCTTACTAATAGTTGACAAAATATACTTATATATAAACTTTCGATATATTAAATATATAAAGTTTCTTTCATTACTATTTTTATTTTATTTTACTTTATATTATTTCATTTTATTTTACCATTACAAAAAATATAAGTTACTTTCATCACTATTTTAATATTAATTTTAGCATGATTAAGGTGGCATTACTTAAAACAAATTTTTAATTAGTAAACTTATTTGAAACAATATTATGTATACAATACAAAATAGCATAGAAATTATAATAGAGCTAGCTATAGGATCCATTGTACCTCAGTCAAGAAACACTGGTGGGTTTTCAAGAAACATTTTTAGGGATATCTAGAACCTTTTGAAATTATTTATATTATTACTACTATTATTACTGTAGTTGCTATTGATGTTAAAGAAGTTATTATCAGCAGTCTGAAAAAAGACTCAGGATTCGAAAGTCACAAAATGATATTTCTTCCTGATTTTGGTATAAAAGAGCTTTAAAAATGATAGACTACTTTTGAAGAAAAAATATAAGATTTTTAGGGAACAATCCATTTTGATCCTGATATCCTTATGTATAATGATGTTAAGGACTCCAGGACTCCGAGATTCTAGGCTAAAAAACTAAAGGTTTGAAGTCATTAAACCTTGTGAACTTTTTTCTTATTGCAGATTGTAAGTCACCCAACATTTTTAGAGCTCCTGAAAACCAGAAACCAGGTAAGAAAATAGAGCTTTAAAGTCTGTGTTTTTTGGGACACCGCATCCACATTGATTTTGTCACACCTTTATGTTAAAATGACATTTCCAAACTTTTTTTGATTCTCAAGAAATTTAATATAAACTTTCAAGTGCAGTAATTATTACAATATTCATATTTTAAACAAAACTTGATAAAAAAATGAAAAAAAGCATTTAAGCATTTGTATATATATATCAATTTTTAAATAGCTTATTCAATCAAAAAAAAAAAACCTTGTATTAAATAACAATATTTTACTTTGGACAAAACAAGGTAAATGAATAAAAAGATGCATTTTGTTTAAGATTTCATTGCCTTTATTCAATTTGTATTGATTTTTTTCCACTTATATCATAACAGTGCTCTAAAATAACAAAATCGATATATTTTGTTCGATCTATTATTTTATCAAAATAACTAAAAGCAGATTTCACTAGTGTCAAATAAATTGACTGTTGACTAAATTGATTAATATGTTTTCTGAAGTCAACTAAAATCAACTAATGCATTTTGCAAATCAACAAAAAATCAATTTAGTCGAAATATGGGAACAATTTTTTTTTTAAATAAATTGTAATAAAAATAATAAAGTAATTTTTAGTTGCTTTTTATTTTTTAATATCATATCATATAAATATTAATGAAACAAAACAATGCTAGAGCAGAGTCGCTCTGAGAGAATTTATTCCCAAGCCCCTGCTAAAAATACCTGCTAAAAATTAAAAAAGTCTATGCAATCATATTTATAATCTGTTTGTATAGATGATATTTCAAATTTTCACTATGTAATTTTGTCCCAGTACCCCGAGACAGCTTGGGACAGCCCTGTATGAAAGTATTTATAAAAATCACAAACATACAGTAAACAAACAAAAAATTAATGAAATACATAACCAAAAAATATGTATAAATTAGGTATAAATATTGCTAACATGCTATGAGATAAATGTAATTAGTGTAAATAATTGTATTGTATATAAACTATTAACGTGTTGCGTCAGAAGGAATGTTGTGGGCGCGTCGTATATATTATATTGTACATAACGTTTATACTGTTTATTATACCCTCGGGGGTATTTTGCAAATGTGTAAATATTGAGTAAAGATATTCAGAAGACAGTAAGAAAAAACAAATATATTTTATAATTACAATAAAACTTAAAAATAATAAACAAAAAACTAGAAAGGGAAGAGAGGGAAATTTAACTAATTAAAAGAGAAAATTAAAAATAAACAAACCAAAAACAGAAAAGAGAAATGAACTTAATGAATGATAAAATAAATAAAAGATAAACCAGAGAAAGTAAAAGCATGAAAATAAAAAAAAAATTTAAATTTAATTATACTTTTCAAACAATAAAATTTTCAATAAACATCTCAATTAACAGTTAAAAGTTGATAATTTTATCTATATTACTACATTAGTTTAGTACTTAGGTTGATTATTTGTTATATTTATGAGGAGGACTGTTATTATGGCAATTGATGAGGATTCAAATCCTAATAACAAATAATTATTTTAATTTCATTTTCTTAGTAGACATCAGAAAATATCAGTTTCAAACTTTTAAATAATAAAGTTTTGAAGCATTAAGCTTAGTTTAAACTGGATTTCGAAGCATTAAGCTTGGATTAAATTGGACTTCAATTTAATTGAAGTCCAATTAAATTGAAGTCCAAATGCATCAAATTTGTTTGAAAATTTTCATAATAATTAAAAAAGATTGAATTATTTGAAAAAAAAAAACAAATACTTTTTTTAAAAAGATTCCCTGTGAAAAAATTAAGTATAACCTTTTCTCTGTACAAATCAAGTATTTAATTATGCTTTCTTGAAAAAATGGTACATAGGATTTTGGTACAGAAGTTATGTATATTTTTTTCTTTGCGTACCATTTGTTTTGATTTTTGCATTTTTTAATTTTAGTTTAGTGCCATTAAACAGTCAATTTTCCATATATAAATACTAGGCATTTTTTCAAAAAACCATTTATTTTCCAGCACAAAATATGAAATAACTTCAGATCCACTTACCTTCTAAAAAATAAAAGACCACTCATTTTTCAGTCTTTTATAAGCTATATACAACCATGTTATTCATACATAAAAATGTCAACAACAAAAAAAAAACACCATACCTTTTTTTAATCTATTAGTATGTTTTGTTATTTTGTAGGTATATCATACAAATATTTTAAAATTACCTTTGCTAAACATGTTTCTAAAAGTTCTTCGCAAACTTTCTCTAAACACTGATGAACTTTTAGCCTTGCACGAATGTATTCAACTACTTCTTCATTAGACATAACATCCCAAACACCATCACAGGCAATTATCAAAAATTCATCATCACTAGTGCGTGGAACAGTAATTATATCTGGTTCTGGAGAAACTAATTGTTCTGTTTGAGAAAAACCTTTGACATTTTTGTAATCATAATCACCAAGCGCTCTTGAAACTGCTAGAGAACCATTGACTCTTTGAACCATGACACTTCCACCAGCATTTTCAATACGAAGTTTTTCTTTTTCACAATATGGTTTATGGTCTTGTGTAGCTAATTTAACGCTCTTATTGCTGCAAAGAACAGCTCTAGAGTCACCGCAATTTGCAAATATTATATTATCCTCAGTAATAAACACTGCAATAGCTGTGGTACCACTTTTTTCTTCACCTGTGCTAAACTTAGGAAGTTCTCTCATATTTTTATCTAACGCTAAAAAGCCTTCAACAATCTTAGCCTTAAATTTATCTAAATCCTCTAAAGAGTGTAAATAAGAGTTATCTGAATCATTTTTACATTGCATTTGCAGTTCATTATCTACAGATTCGGAAGCATCGCTTCCAGAAGGCAAGCATAAATTTAGTATTGTATCTAATAAATTTTGAGACGAATATTTGCTTACAAAGTCACCTGCATGACCGTCAAAAACTGCAAAATACGAACAATTTTTGAATTTAGGACTCAATTCTACTCTAATGGAGTGTGCATCTTCCATTTCAACACGCCATCCCTGCATTGAACATAACGCATATCGGAGACCATTACCCTCGCCAGCATCTAAATCTTTCTCTTTTTTAGGTTTATCCAAAAACACACCCATTAAAGAAGTTGTTCGTTGACAGGAACTTTAAAGATGTTCCCTAAAAATTTGCCATATTGAAAGTTCTGAGAAAACTATGAGGTCATTGAAATATTGAAGTTCACGCGCGAGTGTTTGGTTTTTTTTTTTTCTGAAGTATGTCTGTCCATTTTCTAATGGCCAACCCATTAATCTAAGTGAAATCAAAACTTATGAAAACAGTCTTGGATAGAACACGCGTACTATCCGCATTGTTTTGGGTTGCCTCAACTCAGTGGAATACTTCAAATGAGATTATAATCTCCTTAATATTTTCATAATTTTTAACTATTATGAATTTTTTCGCTTGCGTGTGTGTAAGAATAAAATATCACCGTCAAAACCATAGAACTCCACTGACCTAGTATAGAACGCTATTTTAAAAAGAATAGAGCTCTATTGAAAATAAGACTCAAAACAAGAGTGGCGATAAATTAGCTAAGATGAGGCTTAATCTAAAAAGATTGTAACACATAGGCGACTCTTTTTATTTAACACCACACTCATTTTTTTATAATGATATATACACGGCCGGATCTACCTTTGTCGAGGCTTAAGCCAAAAGTTAGTATAAATGTCTTTTAGCCTAACTGATAATGCATTACACAACCTACCCAGTGGGTATGCGTTATCCAGGGAACGTCCGTTGGACGTCTTAAGGACGTTTGAACGTCCGTGAGACGTCTAATGAACGTCCTGTGGAAAACGCCAATGACCATGACATCTTCAAAGTTTACATCCCGTATGATATCCTTTCAATATTTATACAAGTCAGGTTAGAGAGCTGTTAAAGCATTGAGGTAGGAAGCCTATTTTTGATCAATTTCATTTTAGCAAACAATCTTTCCAAGCAGTTTTTTTATTATCAAGAAACATCTTTACAAACTCTTTAAATTGCCCTAACTCTGTTCCAAAGAGAATATATATCTAAGTCGTTTTTATAATTTGGAGTGAAATTGTTTCCTCAACACTCCCAGATTTCAGTTTCACCGATTAAGATAAGAAGTCAAAAAAATTTGATATTTGATCATAAATACACAATTTCTGGTAAAGAACAGAAGCTTAGTGGAGATGGGTATTGGCGAATAGCTAAGCGGAATGCGAATTAAAGACACAAGTTATATGAAATTGGTCATATTTATTGTTTATCAATATGTTTATTATATATTTGTTGCTTATCAATTACCCTAACTATTCAGTCACAAACCCTTAAAAGCTATTTTTATAAATTTATTATAAGTAAAATTAGGGCAAAAATAAAACCATTGGTGTTCGGAATTACCCTACGTACGTGGGGTAATTCTGAACACACCGTGGGTAATCACAAACGCTGTTGTGTAATAGCGAATAAAATGCTAATTAAAACAATTAATTACAAAAATTATACTATGCAACAACAACAACAAAAGAGTGGTTTTATTTCTGTAGTAGCTACAACATGAATGTTACTCAAGAAAAAAGTTAAATAAAATTATCAGAAAAAAGTTAGGATCAAATTATTATGAATAACAATTGCAGCTTCATTACACCACTGCACGTCCGCAACTGAGCATGAGATCCCCTCTCAGCAGGTAAAAAAAAAAATATCAAATATATTTTTCTATTATGTTGTTTTGACCGTGTTTGGAGTTACCCCACGTTTTCCATTACCCCACTCTCCCCTAGTGATCAATTAATAAAATAGAGCTGTCAAAATGAAGTTTCTGGTAAGCTGACATTTGAGTGGAAGTTGCATGTTTACAGTCTATAGGAGTTAACCGCACTCTTTGAATTTTTGAATATCATATTTCTGTGTAACAGCTTTCTCTGCTCCTTTTTTTTTAAATTTATGCTTTGACATGGCAAAGTTTTTCAGTGATTTGATGCTGGCCACCATAATTATTTAGTGTAGTTTTGAATTGCTTTAGTTATATTTGCTTTTTCTAAGATTTTATGGCTGAATATTGCATATATTCAAGTTTCATTCATCATCATGTTGTAAAATTTTGTTAAGCTGAAGCATTCGCTTAAAAGTTCCTAATACTTATCCTAATTTTTATTATTACTTTACTTGCAATAAACTATTTGTTGATAAAGTTCTGAAGTATAATCAATTGAAATTAATTCTACAGAAAATCAAAAAAATAATGATTGGTTTAAAGAGATTGGTTTAGAGAGTATTAGATTAGAGATTAATAGAAGAGGTTTAATACAACCAACTAATTTATATTTTATATTGTGTTTACTATTATATATTATAAGTAAAATCTTTTTTTAAACTATTTTCAAAAGTGATCATTTAAGATCTTTTAGTGAAAATGATATGATCTTTTATTCAGAGAATGACGATAAAATAAAGCACCTGCTTGCAGGATTTTTTTTCAAAAAAAAAAAAAAATCAATACTTAATTTGTTACTTTCGAATGAAATATAGTGGGGGGAATAAAAGTAAATATTTAGCGAAATAGTTCAAATTGTGATACCAGCTTGAAACTTTCAGGAAATTGTCTATAAATTAAAAGAATTCAAAAAAAAAAGACCCCATTCTGAAAATATTTTTTGGTCCTGGGGCGACCCCCAACTGAGTTGACTTTAAAACTATAAAATCTTCTGAACCGATTATATAAGTTTGCATTAGGCAGAATTTTAAGAAACAACAAACAACTATACCACATTACTAATTAAAATATGATTAAAAGCATAAAAAACGTTTTATTTATATATTTCAGAGTAATGGAACTAATTTTTTTTAAAACTTGTTAACAAAAATGAGGTTTGTTCATTTTATTCAAAACACTGACCAGAACACTCGCATAGGTCTGTACAGGATAATCCTGAACGTTTGCATTTGCATTGCGTTCCGCAACTTTTCTTGCATCTATATTTTATTAACTCGATGCATGACTTTGATGCCTCAGGTAGAGTCATCCACAAAGGTGTCATTGCATTATTTATTTTTATCCAACCCCATTTAGTAGCTTCGGGTAAAATCTGTTGTGGCATCAAGGATTGTCCCCATATAATACTAAATAAATAATTATTTGTAAGTATCATTTTTAAATATTTGATTTATTAAAATTTTTTGAATAGAATAATAAGTCCATTTAAATATTTAAAAAAATATGCAGCTTTCTTGAAACACAGCTCTTTTTAAATGCTGAAATAGCGCATCTTTTGTAGGTGGTAACCCTTCACTCTGTCGTGAATTTTTAGTGAACAGCATTTTTCGGCATACGGTGAGGTCAGTAGTGGAACTTGTTTTATCATAAAGTAGAATAACGTAGCGCTCAACTTTAGAAATGTATCAAGTGAAACAACTCTAGTGCTTGGAGATGACAAGCTAAAAAATAAAATAAAACCACATATTGGACTAAATTTGCACAAAAAAAGCAGCCTATAGGAAAATGATTTTAGAAGTTAGCAGCAGAAGCTAGCAAATCTAAAATCACTGCCTTTTTATACTATTTAAACATAGGTTAGCTAGGTTACCTGCAAAATTTACTAATAATTTCTTCATCTCCATTGGTCCAGAGATTCCATGCAAGATTTTTTCCTCGTCCTGCAAATGATGACACGGTATCACAGCCAGTGAATGCAAACCACAATGAAACAGCTTCTGCTTTTTCACCTATCTTTTGTGCGTAATAGTGTATTGGAAGCCATCATGTTTCTAGTGTTTGAGTTTTCCAAGCGTTTGAGTTTTCCAACTCCAAATTTTATCCAAAGAACGTGCAGTGGTGTAATGAAGCTGCAATTGTTATTCATAATAACTTGATTCTAACTTTTTTCTGATAATTTTATTTAACTTTTTTGTTGAGTAACATTCATGTTGTAGCTACTACAGAAATAAAACCACTCTTTTGTTGTTGTTGCTTGATAACAGTTAATTGTTTAAAAACGGAAATTGAGATCGCAACAACATCTGTGTCAACTGTTTGAATACAGACAACATGGTGCCCACTGTCAACTGCATTTTTAATATGTAGCAAAATTCTAGTGTCAGCTTCCTCGTGGTTACAAGGTGAGATAGATTTTCTATTAAAATCTCTGAAATTGGATAAAACAGTTTCATCTAACGTTGTTACTAAAAGTAAGTCAAATGTCTCTACTTGTACAAAGTTTATTGCAAGCATTTTAAACAACTCATTTTTATTTTTATCCAATCGTAAGAACTGTGACCAGTTTTTCCAGATGGGAGTTGAATCAAAAACATGTACTCTTACACCATTCCCACGATTTTCCCTAGTCTGGGTTTTTAAACTACATTCAAAATAAATGTCAATCCTTTTTATTTCTTTATGTTTTGTTGATGTGGTATTAATTATTTTCTATCGAAACTCATTTTCAGAATACTCCTTGAATGTCTTTGAATTTACCGGATGAAATATATGAACAATAGCTCCTCCGTCTAACACCTTTGCAGTGATACCTTCAGGAGAAGTCAAAGTAGGGGCTGAATATTCTTCATGACATTTAAGATACTCCGATTTATTAGTTTTTCGGAGTTTACCGTATTCAGATATTCCTGGTGGATAAGCATGATTTTCATGTCGAAAAAAATCATCTAAATCTCCATCTCTATGTTGAGATGCAACCCAAAGTGGTGCAAACATTTTGCATTCTTCTTTCAGCATTACTGTTTTTAACCTTCCTTTTTAAGTGGCAAGGATGTTTTTTTCTCTAAACAGGCGTAAGTTATTTTTGGGTATTGTTTTATATATTGAATCCTTTCCAGTTGTTAACTATTTATGAATATAACATCTGGATGACTCAATACCCGTTTGCTTAGCTTTTTTGACGGATGCCCTAGCATCTGCGTCAAGTAATATTTTTGTTGATAAATGTGTAAGAATATCTTCTTCTACTAAAAATGGATTTCCAAAATCTTTTACAACTTCAATAAACTCTGATACATGTTCATTATAATTCTTTTCAAAAACAGGTGTAACTTTGTGATGACTCTTTTCATTACCTTTTTCTTCTTTTCCACATCCATCTAGAAGTTCAGCAAGTAATGGTTCACACACCATTCACTTTATCAACGCACTTGGGCTATCTAAAAAGTCAATTGAGCCGCCATCTCCTTTTATGATTTTGATG